CCCTCCCCAGTGGGGTGGGTGCAGGAGGCAGCTGATCAAGGATTCTCTCTCATCATTGATGATTCTCTCTCTCTCCCTCTATTTTTCTGTCTCTCTCTCTCTCCCTTCCTCTCTGAAATCAATAAAAATAAAAATAAAAACCTAAACAAAAACTCTAAGCTGGTGGCAAGATGGGGCTATTGTCAAGGGTGTTATCTTATATTTTAGAAAAATCACAGGTTAAACTCCATAAACTCTAAAACAATAACGTGCCCTATGCTCTACATCAATACAATCATTAGCTATCAGAAAACGTGAAGCATTTAGAAAGATAACTGAAGAAAAAAACCACATTACAATCCCGACCTTTCACACAAACGTGAGCTCTTCTGAACTGTGAACTTGACAAGTGTCTTAATGCCACCCTTGCAGGGAGAGGCCGGTGACCTGGGCGTGGACAAGGAAAGGAAGAAATGGACTCAAAATTCCATCCCTTCCAACAAAACATGTCCATGGCTTGAAAAGCCCCAGTGATGGTCGCTGACACTTGAGACAGAGGCACATCTCTGAGGAATCAAGGCAGACGCTGAGATGGCTTCCCGCGTATACGGAACCACTTCCAGAATGAAGTGCAATCACTTCTGAGATCCGTGGCTCAGAAATATTGGTGCCATCTTTCTTGGTGCCAATAAAGATACATAAAATGTCCTAAAGGTTTTTAAACTGAGAAGTACAGCGAAAGGACGAATACCTTTATTCCACCAGAAAGTATAACACAGCACTAAGCAGGCCACCTGTCTCTACAGAGTGAAGGTCATGACTATAGAGCACACTTAGCACGTCATCCCCAAGTTCCGGTCTGAGCTACCCCAGCACCCGCTTGTGACTTTGGTTTGAAGAAAATCTAATAGTAGAGGAATAAAGTGGAGAACTAAAACAAAACATACAATTGGGGATAAAAGGCAACTCATTTTCCTGGTGCTATTCTGTCAGCAGGATTAAAACAGGCAAAAATGGCCCAGGGATTACCGATGCCTTTTAGGAAGTGTGCCTCTTTTAGTAAAAGACGAAAGATTTATGCGATCTGAAGAGAAACCAGAGTATATGTGCCTCTTTTTAACTGCACTCAAGTGTACTAACAGTTACTATTTCCAGGGCTTGGTCTACAAGTCTGTGCGTATTAGTGGTTTGTCCTCATTACTACTTGGAACTGCTGGTCATATATTGCCACCTTGAGTGCAGCCAGAATTAATGCTACATTTTTCTGTGTGGAGAGAAAATAGATGTGTTCAACTAGAAAGGCACAAACTTCAGAATATACCCAGAGCCACAAAACACACAGCTTTCGATGACCATTTTATTAATTCAGCAAGAGGAGAGAAATGCCCAGAGGCCGTGCGGGTGGCAGGGCTCCGGAGTGTGGCGCTCCCGGGCAGGTGTCAAGGCGAGAGGAAGTGCAGTCGGTGGGTGATCACAGGTGATTTTTACAGGGCTTTCTCTGTTCACGACCAGTCTCGGGAGTTTAATGAAAGGCTATCCCACACTGCGGTCATGTTTTTATACACAGGAAAGGCACGAGAATGGAGTTTCAGGAGTGAAGAAATGTGCACAGCCGCATGGCCCTTGGAATAACGGCTTTTGCTAAGGAGGTCTCCCCCTCCACTCCAAGCACTGGAAATAACCACGCTCAAGGGGAGATAACCATCACAGACACACACAGAGCAGTTCACTCCGAACCCAAGTTCAACATGCAACGCTGCGCATTTGGGGGTTTAGGAAAAGCAGCATCGGATTTGGGTTTATAAAATGAGAAACCCAGGATCTCGGCTGGCTGTGGTCTATGATCCCACATTCACTGAAAGACAACAGTGCCACCTGCTGACGTGAGAGACGCAGCGCCGACAGCTTGAAAACAGTAGCTTTGAGAGCTCATCAGGGAGGGCACACGGTCACACACGGAGTGAACACACAGAAAGGGCAGTGTCCACATTCACAGAGTAAATATCCGGGGGGGGGGGGGGTGGTTCAGCTGGAAGGGGATGATAATAACTACATTCGTGGTTTCCTCCGACTGTGTGAGCTATCAATTCCTATTAGGCTGCTGCTACTGGCATGAATTAACCAGAAATAAATCTTTTCTGCATGTAACCACAATAAATTCTTTTGCAAATCTTCCCTTAGAGCCCTACTATATAAACTTTAAGTAGAACCAATTATTTCACTGGAAAGACAAAAGAATTCAGTCAGTCAAAAGAAACCAGCCGACTGTAGGATTGTGCTGTTGTTTTTTTATTGTGTTTTCAATGGAGAAATACATCATCTGTTTACAAAATAGCTCTTGAAAAATACAAGGAGTACAGATACTATAAAACAAAGCAAACTCCAGTCATGAGACACTACGTACATCATGCGAAAGCAACAGTCCGATCTCCAGGTTATGAAACTAGAATTAAAAAGTCACTACACAGAAAAGGTCCAAGTTCCCAGTGTGGCAAAACTTGGGTGCAGTTACAGGAAACGTTGAATAAACTGAATTTTTCCCCCCAATGTGTAAACAAATGACAAGACTAAATCTGTGCCTGGCAATTTCAATCTAACTCTGAAGCTACACAAAACACCCAGCCACCTTGTCACTTGCCCTGGTAACGTGACCCTTTTTCTCTGGTGGTGGCGACAGGGCCGGTGACTGTGCAGAGTGAAGATGTGGGAAGTAGAAATGTTGTATACTAGATGTTACAAAGTATGGTGAAAAGAAAGCCTAAATA